CACACACACACACACACCCCCCCACACACACACAAACACACACTCACACATACACCGACCTTTCCCCCTTTCACTCCATTAAGCAGGGAATGTTTTGGATAAACAAATTTCCATCAACAATGGGCCCGAAGGACAACGGTTGGAATCGATATCTGAACTGATCACATGCACAATAGAAACATTGGTGGGTTCCGCAGACACTGTCTCATAGAACTGAACAAATAGAAGATGTCTTCCTGACAGACAAGACACCGGGTCGCTCAATCCGTCAAAAGCGTCTCCACATCACACTCAAGGAGAATATTTCCTCGAAGGGCGCGATCTTGATTTCCACATTATTTCGGACAGTCTGATTAAATTAAGTCTCTTTCTCTGTCTCTTTCTCTTTCTCTGTCTCTGTCTCTGTCTCTCTGTCTCTCTGCCGCTCTGTCTCTCTGTCGCTCTGTCTCTCTGTCGCTCTGTCTCTCTGTCTCTCTCTCTCTCTATATATCCCTCTCTCTCTCTCTCTCTCTCTCTCTCTCTCTCTCTCTCTGTGTGTGTGTGTGTGTGTGTGTGTGTGTGTGTGTGTGTGTGTGTGTGTGTGCGTGTGTGAGTGTGTTTGTGAGGATGGAGGGAGGGAGAGAGTTTAGTGTGTTAGTGCACATGAGTTTGTATAATGTAAGCGTGGTTACATGAGGAGAAAAAAAACGGAGAGGGAGTCGTGAAAAAAAGGGGAGGGGAGGGGTGGGAACAATGAGGTAATTGTCAGCTGGGATCTCAGTATCAAATGCTTTAAAGAAGTTCGAGAAAAAATACACGACAATAAAGAGAAGAAGTAAATATATCGTTATGGGTACTGGAGAATATCCTGCTCCAGTTTCGTCCTCTCTCTGTAGGGCAGTTTATGACTGTCCTCTAAGTGCAAGTGTATCGGAGACCGTTCTTTCAAATGTACGTGTTTATACACCCCAATCAACAAAATTTAAATCAAATAGGAAGCGGGCATCCGACCCTGCCTGTCAGGATCAGCCTGCGCTGAGAGGGATGCAATATCCTAGCAGAACAACTGAGACACTCGATAAAAATTCACCCCATTCGGGAATTGAACTCGGGTCTTCTGTGTCCGACAGCGAAGCGCCTAACCACTACACCAGAGTCGCCTGTACATATATGCGTTATATGCATTATATACACATACTGTGGAACGTCAATGTAGGCTTGTGTATTTGTGGCCTTGTGGGATAGCGAAAGCCTATTTCATCGAGTATTTCTGGTTGTTCGCTGCCATGCTGTGTGCCACGCATAACGGGTTGATCCTGATAGGCAAGGTCAAAACAGCCCATATCCCCAGGATTTTGATTGTGTCCAAAAGGTGGGAGAAGAGGGGTAGGGAGAGGGACGGTGAGAGGCAAGATTAGGGTGGGATGTGGGGGTACTGGGGTGGATGAGAGATAGGTTGAGGATAGGGATGATAGACGGGGTAGGA